GCCGACAGCCTGCTGCTGGCAGCTGGGCGGAGCCAGCCGTCATCTCACGGCTGGCTCCGGCCACTCGCAGAGACAGATCGGCGTCCCTGGTTACCAGCTAACCACGTACGCCCATGTGTCATTAGGATGAGAGCTCGGCAGAGCCGGCTTTCATATCTGACAAGCTCTCATTGTAATGACAGCTGTTCCCGGCCAATAGAAAACAGTTGGGCGGAGCTAGCTGTCACTGCTAGCTCCGCCCAAACGTTTTCTATTTTTTGACTGTTTTTCTGTTCTGCTCAATACCACGGAGGTACCGAGCAGCATAGCCGAGCCGAATGCCCCTCGGCGGCACTCGGCTATTCCCTCACTGCTGTTCGGCATCCATGAGAATAGGCCGAACGGCAGCGAGTAGCCTGCTGGAGGTTCGGCTCAGCCGATCCAGATGTTGGATCGGCTGAGTCAAACTACTGCACTCCAGGTCGGCCGAACATGCTGAGCATGCTCGGCCGACCCCAAGCCACCCGATGTACGGCTGAAATCAGCTGTTCCAGCGTTCGGCTCGCTTCACTCCGGGTCGGTTATTCACTACGGCAGCTTTGTGAATAGACCCCCTAAATATTTTTCCGTTAACGATCCCCCCAAAAAGCGCACGGTGCTGTCAGATCTCAGAATTCGGCTTTCGCGGCCCCCAGTGTATCTCGTCAGCACAGCTTCAAACCTTACCAGCAGTGATGAGGAATCCTCCTCCTACTTTATAGAGCCGGGCGGCGGCGAAGGGCACAGCGCACACCAGGAGGAGCCCGCCCACCAGGCTGGCAGCCACGGCGAGGACGATGAACGCCGTCCAGAAGCCTCTGTACACTGCCAAGCAGAAGGAAAAGATGTAATTGTGTTATAATGTCAATGCCGGGATCACCACACGGAGCAGAACGAGGAGGAACCCGCAGCAGCCAATCAGAAATCATCCTTCACTCCTCTCTATACCACTGAGAGCCGAACGCTGGTTGCTACGGGTTACCGCACTTTGCATTACATTGTTGTCATTACGGATGAAACCTTTTCTGTGATTTATCCAACCAGCAGATATGAGAACGGTTCACCCACTGTACGGAGATTTGTATGAGGGATCGGTCCACACACACGGCTCAGCTGGATTGCGTCTGCGTTGTAAACCGGTGAAAACATGTTCATGTGACTTGCAGGCCAGGCGCACACCTAGGCGATTTATTGCGCGGATTGGATCGCGCGATATCACGCAAACCACAAATGCCCATTGAGGTCAATGGAGGATGTTAACACATCGCCCGTCGCGGGAAAAGGTGCGGGAGCTATTTTCGGGCGATTGTCGCGCGGTTTGGGTCCCATAGACATCACTATACATCGAAACCGCGCGACAGCCACGCGAAAACAGCTCGGCATCTGAATCGCCTCGGTGTGAACTTAGCCGAAATGTCTGAAATATTCCCGCTCAGCAGGTTCTCGGAAGAACACAGAACAGCCGGCACCCCACTAAAAAAAACAAAACTTGATACATTGTAACATCTTCTGTACAGAAGGAGGAACCCCTCAATAACTATAGTCAGAGCAAGGAAGTCCCTCTGGGGTCCACAGTCCAGGGGCCACTAGAGTCCAATCCAGTTACAATGCGTCCCAGCAACAATGTGGCAAGTATCAACATTAGAGTTCAGCCCAATGTACCGATACAATGTACACTATGCGGGTAAATGTCTGTGGACACCCGACCATCACACCTATATGATGCTGCTGGCCCTCCCATTTTAGAACCCATGGCCATTAAAAAGGAGTCGTTGCCCCCCCCCCCCCTCCCCCTTCCTTGACCAATAATATGGAGTTACCCCCCTTTGTGGCTATGCCATGCTCCACTCCTCTGGAAAGACTTTGCACAAGATTTTGGGGGTGTCGGTGGAAATTTGTGCCATGGGTGAGGTCAGGTACTGAGGTTGGATGAGAAGATCTGGCTCACCAATAAAGTTCCAATTCACCCCATACCAGGGAAGTGCGGTCAGGGGAGGCAGGTGGGGGCGGAGCCTCACCTAGAATTATGGAGGAAAAAGCTGTCAGCTTCATGTCTGAAGCTGACAGCTTTTTCTCCATTCAGATCGTCATCTAACAGGTTACAGAGAAGGGAAGCCCTCCCCGCTGTGTAACCTGTCATGGACGGAGCGCCTCAGCAGTGAGGAGCAAGTGAGGGACAGGGAGGCTCCTCCCTTCCTCCTTTACACTAGGTTGGGGGTGGAGCTTCATCTGGCGGGGCTTAGTCTGGCGGGGCTGGGGAATGCCTCACCCGGAGCAAGAGGTACCGCACGTCACTGCCCCATAGGTGTTCAGTAGGGTGGAGGTCAGGGCTCTGTGCAGGACACTCGAGTTCCTCCACCAGACTGGTCCCACCATGTCTGTATGGAGCTGGCTTTGTACACAGGGGACAGTCATGGTGGGACAGAAAAGGGTCTTCACCAAACTGTGACCACAAGGCTGGAAGAGCTCAATTGTCTTTGTATGATGGAGTATTACCAGAACCTTCACTGGTGACCTCTGACCCCCATCATTGGGCGGGGAGTCCATGTACTTGACCATAAGGGTCGGGGTGATATCTAGGTGTCTACATACTCTTTCGCCAAATGGTCTTTTGCTGATGATGATCATGTCTTTATGGAGTTGGCTTTGTACACAGGTGACAGTCATGGGGGGGGGGGG